GTTTTAGTGCATGTAGTCTGTCTGTTAGCTCATTTACTGTGACTGGGAAATCCAGGGGATTCTGATTGTCTTTAATTTTTTCTTTCAGGATTTCTAATTTGGTTTTTTATTTCATTCCGAGCAGGATTTGTTTCTGTTGTTTTGTACAGATTGTCAAAGGTGTGTCCTCCATATGTTCTCATTTTGAATGGCCAATTCTTCCTTTTGTGGTCTATAGAGAGTGTTCCAATTGTTATTGGTATTTATTGATTCCTCCATTGTTTGAAATAATTGTTCTGTATGCTCTTCCTTTTTTGCTTTTAGAGTTTGTTTGTACACATTAAGATACACATGATATTGAAGATGGAGTTCTTGGTTGTCAGGATCTCTGTGTTTTTTATTTGAAAGATTTCGTACTGTCGTTCTAATTCTTTTACACTCATCGTCAAACCACTTTTCATTGGTGTTTTTTGGTTTTCTTTTTGATGATTTTTTCAAATTGCACATGGATGCTGATTGGTGAAATATATATTATGGTGAATATGTCCTTTAGTGCCAGATTTATGCCTACTTTATTTTGTGGATATGTGTTAATTATAAATTTGTCCAATAGTAATTTGATAGTTTGACTTTCTATTGCACTTTTCATAGTTTTCTTTGCTGTTTTTTGTCCATTTGTAGGATTGATGCAGCTTTAATAACTGAGAGGGCTGTCTGCATATTTGATAGTTTTGAGTTGGTTTTAGATAGTGTAATCTTACCGTGGTCTGACAGAGGTGTTTGAGGACTGATTGTGAATGCTCTGAGATGCACTTGATCAATGTCTGTGATGAAATAATCTACAATACTGTTACCAAGGAAAGAATTAAAGGTATAACAACCAAAAGAGTCTCCTCGCATACGACCATTCACTATGTACAGGCCCAGTGATTGATAGAGCTATAGTAGGCTTTTACCACTTTTGTTTGTGAAGCTGTCACGATTTTTTCTGCGATGATATGAGGGCAGAGAGTGGCAGGTGTTTGTAATATATTTGTCTCCTTGTGTGTTGACAAAGTCGGCTTCATTTCCAGTTCTGGCATTTAAGTCGCCACATATTAAAACATTTCCTTTTGTCTGGAAATGGCAGATCTCGTCATGCAGGATAGAAAAGGTTTCTTCATTGTAATAGGGAGATTCAGCCGGGGGTAAGTATGTGGCACACAAGAATATGTGACAGTCTGTGGAC